GATAAAAAGATATAAACAGATAAATTAAGGCAACAGTAGAAAATATAAATTAATTTTTATATGAGTAGTCATTGAGGAGACACGTTGAGGTTCCTCTGTTGACTAGGTTGGTGGCAAGGAGGATACTCTGCATGATTTATTTCAAACTGAAATGTTGGTAGAAGAGGATATAAAGCCAATGAGAAAAATCAATACTAACAGACTACAGATAGTAAAGCACACTTCCCAAGAATTCTAAAGGAAACGAAATATGAAACAATTTACTGTGTAATCTCTCACCAAAAATTGCCTTAGTATGTGAGGAATGAAAGGTGGCAAATGTGACACTGAAAAAAAAAATTTCCACTAATTGATAGCAAATATACTAAGAACAGTAGAACAAGCAGTAAACAAATCTGAATCACATATCATCATCCAATCACCTTGAATAAGAATCAACTTGGATTTCATAATACCAATTTTGTATTGCTTTTAGAGATATTTGAAGGGCTTAGTGTCTATGCAGATGGAATTGTGGTTGATATACAGTCCATATGTATTTCCCAAAAGCACTGAACAGGTTTCTTACTAAAAGGTGTTTAAATTAAGCTGCTACAAAGTACAAAGAGCCTCACATAAATAAAGTGTTTTTTTCATTAGGCAGAGTTAACCATGGTGTCTTACAGAGACAGGGGGTCTGAAGACCAGACATCTGAAGACCAGGCATCTTCAGTACATTCCCTTTCATTTCTGATGCCAGATGACAAATCTCAGACTACACACCTTAGTCAAAATTTTGGAAAGTTAGTACCTGACAAAAAAACACCTATCATGGAAAAAGTAGTAACAAACTCTGCTTTGAAGTATTTATAATAGCTTATCTTCATCTTAAAGCACTTTCAGAGAAAAGAATCATGTGCAGTAGAGCACTGTTGCTACATGGCCTAGAAAGAAACTGCAAGATTAGAAAGCTGTAAATACTACATCATATACTGCTATATATTTATTTTTATGAAGACAAGAGCAAAGATTTGTGGTTGACTATTTTAGGAGTTTCTTCAATAATGACTTTGACCTGCCATGTTCTTTTTTGTTTTTAATAAGTGCCACTACGTGCACATTGTGATAAAATAAACAAGAGCAATTTAGATTACCAGCATTCGTTACATTTGTCGTCTTCCACCTCTCATAATAAGCCATGCAGCTGTGTCACAGAATACTGCATCTACATGCACTGCCAGAAATCTGAACAGTTAGCCACAAGAGAAATAGAGAAGGGGCTTAGAAATAGCACTCTAGGTACAGTCTGTGAATATGACTAGGGAAACAAGAATAACACAGCATGGCCACAAACCAAAAACGTGGATTGCCTCCTGGTACACTGACTTTTTGATAACTAGTTAAAAAGGCCAAAAAAACCAAAACACTGAGGTGGCGTCTATAAAACCAATTTATTACTAAGTCATTTACTGAGTACAAGGGTAGCTCTACCATTACCAGTGTTGGACAGTGAATTATGAAAAACGGTAGATGAACTGAAATAATTTTAAAAAAAGAGAAATTACTCTTGATAGCAACATATGCTTCAGTAAGACTCCTCACGAGAAGATCTGACAAGGCTTCCTCTTTCAGGGGTGGGGCAGGGAGGAGGATCATCAATCAAGGGTGTGTAATCCTGAGGATTCTTGTTGACTTCACTCTTCCGCTTAGGCGGCATAAGGATAGCAGCAAATCAGCTGCAGGAATCTATCTGCAGGTATCAACAAAGACTCCTAAATTGTTTATATTTAAATTTCTCAAAGGCTCATTAGTATGGAATCTAACTATCTTCCCACTGGAGAAAATTTCTTTAAAAATGATGAATGTAAGATACTTTCAAAAAGAGTAAGCTCTTTATAGACTCTACTAAACTCAAGGAAGAAAAATGCATTCTCCTTCTGAAAATAGGAGCGCATTATCTGTAATTTCTGTGAATGCAAAGTATTTTAAAAGTCTTCTCATTTATCTACAATTTCTCTCATTATATAAGTGGGCACTCCATGTTACAAATCTTAATTTCTATTTTGTGTTATCATTTATTAAGGTGACAACAGTAACACCTACATTCTTAATTTATATTGCCAGTTCCATTGTTAATGTCCATGCCAATGACATTTTTGGGGATCTAAAAAGCTGAATTTCTGAAAGACAGAACTAAAGTCAAACTTACCGTTTTGTTTTCTAAAGGAAATTATTAATACTTACCTATGGAGTCATTCATATTTAGTTTCTTTGGAGATATAATCAATGTTGTAAGTGCAGATGCCTTAAATAAAATAAGTTAAAATAAAAGTCTACCTTTATCAGTAATTCATTGTGAAATGGTTCAGAAATAAAGTTACAACAAATGAACCTGTTTGAAAACACTTAGTGGACACTGTACCTCCAATAAGAGGAAAAACAAATGCACCACTCGGCAGAAGCAAATCTACTGTAAAAAGCTACCAATTCAAATACTGCCCTACACTGAAGATATGCTCAATTGCATTTTGATGCAGAGTCCTTCTGTTTTGACACAGGGCCCTGGAGAGACTGTCTACAAGCATTAGAAGATGGCCATGATACAAGCTCCATCTATCTTGTAAAACCAGAAAACACAAACCGGCTTATGCAGGTCTGGTGTGATCAACGGCATGACCCTGGTGGCTGGACAGTCATTCAGAGACGGCTGGATGGGTCTGTCAACTTTTTCAGGAACTGGGAAACATACAAGGTTAGGACAAGTGAGCAGTTTGATGTTTTCTACCCTCTAAAAATTACTGGTAAGGCTAATTTAAAGGGTGATTTTAGAGTCTGGCCAACAGCTTACTTGAAAAGGAACCTGTGTGTTTACCTTTCCAGAAGAGGAAGTCTCTATAAAATAAGTTACTGTGGTTTTCTACTGAAGAATACACTCAGATTTATCACTAAAACAGATGCATAATACTAACATGCTTCTCCTGCTTCCTTTACAGCAAGGATTTGGTAATATAGATGGAGAATATTGGCTTGGATTAGAAAATATTTATTGGTTAACAAATCAAGGCAACTACAAACTGCTCATAACAATGGAAGACTGGTCAGGCCGAAAAGTCTTTGCTGAGTATGCTAGCTTCAGACTGGAGCCAGAAAGCGAATATTACAAGTTGAGATTGGGACGCTACAATGGCAACGCGGGAGATTCTTTCACTTGGCACAATGGTAAACAGTTCACCACGCTGGACCGGGACCATGATGTATACACAGGTACAAAGTCCCTTTCAGTTGCCTTGCCCTGCCACCGCCCCCTTTTTTAAAAAAAAAGAAAAATACTTATGGTGATATACATACACACAAAAAAAATTACATTTTTAGAGATTTGTCAGTTAGCAACTTATGAAGCACAAACTGATGTGTCAACCCCGTATGTACTGACACTGAAACAAAAATTCTCATTTAAATATTTATCAGTTACACTAAACAAAGGTCTGTAAAATACACTATGTTGGGTTATTTGAGACAGCAATGCAAACAAATTTTCCAGCAAGGGAGAGTAACACTAATGAATCTATCTGTAGAACCTAACTACAGCACTGCTTCCTGAAGAAGCCTAAATTCACCTTGTACCACATGGTATCTACATGTTAAAACACACAGTTAAAAGAAAAAAATTGTTTTGTGCTTAGCTTGCTTGCTTGCTGTAAGATTTTTCATATGCTCCTAAGACTGAATTGGAGCTTTCTTTTGCAGGTAATTGCGCTCATTACCAGAAGGGAGGATGGTGGTACAATGCATGTGCTCATTCAAATCTCAATGGAGTTTGGTATCGTGGAGGACACTATCGCAGTCGGTATCAGGATGGTGTTTACTGGGCTGAATTCCGGGGGGGATCATATTCACTCAAGAAAGTTGTTATGATGATAAGACCTAACCCCAATACATTCCACTGAAATAATTCTCTTGGTTTGCTTTCTTGTTCTAAAAAATCACATAAAGCTATGATGTTATTATCTGGAATTATCTTTTCAGAAATGAGGAATGTAAGATATTGTACATTTATTGCTAAGATGTGAGGGCTTGTATATTGTATTTTCAAGAATCATTCCAGGAAAAAAAAGCTGAAGAAAATAAAGGAACTGAAATGACATAACATTCAGAATACCTCTTGGTACTAAAAGTAGTTATATTAAACCTTTTAGAACTGGCAGTTTAGATGGACTGTAGATAAACTTTCTGGTTTTTGTTCCCTGTAAATTAAGTTTGGATCGTAAAAATACTGCCCCAACATTTAAATATTTTTGTATGTTATATTATGTATAAATATTCTCAAATACAGGAAATATTACAAACTGTACAGCAAGAGTTTTATTATTATTATTATTATTATGAGCAATCATTTGACATAGGAAATCATATCCTTTGAACTGTGTAGCTGGTACATGTACAGTAGTGTGATTATTCTAATTTAATCTTTGTTAACTGCCATGAATAAAGTTAGTACTATATAATTTGATTTTGAGAGCAGATAACTCAAACCATTACTGTCGTGATAAATCCAATCTTCCCCCTTCACTTTGAGCATTTTAATAATCTGCTCCTATATAAATTAGAATGCACATTTGATTCAAATATTTTAGATTTAAAACACTAATGATTTTCCCTACCAAAATGAAGTAGCTACCTGCGTATGGAAATTTAATCCAGATTTACAAGAGATATAATGTGCTGTATAGCCAACATGTTATACTACACAACTGTCACGGTATTTTGTACCTGACTTCAGTCATTACCTGCTGTGTAGCCTCTAATCAGAAATGGCTGGATATAAATTAAAGGGACTATCCAACTTTGCAGGCAAATGATGGATACCAATACATAAGGTATTTAATACCCTTAGCCAGTAGATGAAAATTATATAAAGAAGTTACCTGTAGCCAAAAGAAGTTATATTTACCATATTTCACAATTATAACATATTACTGTCAAATTATTAAATAGATTTACTCATCTATACTTAGAGGTCAGTCACAACTATGAAATTCTGACTGGGATAATTCTAATATTCTTCTGGGGTAGGTTTCTAGAACAGATTGTTGTAACACCCATTTCAAAACAGCAACTGCTATGAAAAAATATAAGTTAAAGAATGCATATAAGAAGGAGAGCAAAAGCCTCTAGAAGTTCAATATATTTTTCAGTAAGCCTGTAAGATACTTACTGTGCATTTGTGTGTGTGTGTGCTTGCACACTTTTTCCCCTTATTACCTCATCACTTCTTTACAACAGTATGATGTGCATTAAACTGACATGTCATGTAGCATGTGTTGTATATAACTGAAACTAGGGTTTTTAAATATATTACATTACCCCTGTAATATTGTAATCCTTTAATAAAGCAACAAATGTTATTCTGACATGTTCAAATTGCATCCTGTTTTAGTTCAGATTACTCATAGCAAAGAAGAGATAATTTCTTAATTTCACACCACTGTACCTCATGACTCAAATCAACTCTGATACACAACTACTATTAACATGTGTGAAGTGTCTAAATATTGCAACATCAAAAGCAAAGCAATTTTCAGCTGAGAAAAATACTAAATTTCCACACATCCCAAGGAAGAACAACTTTTTGTAGGTCATATGAAAACCCCAAAATTTTCAAACGATATTCAAGCTTTATCTCCACTGGTTTATCTACTGGACTCTGGAAAACAATTAAGTTTTAGGTAAGAAATATTAAACACATCTACTGGCTCTACAGCCTGGCCACAGTGCTCTAATGATTAGGACTGTAGCATTAAGGCAGTAAAATTCCTGCTAACATCTACAACTAACCACTAGTTTTGTCAGAAAAAAACACACAGTAGACTGACACCGCCTACCTTAGAAAAGTCACTCATGAGTTCTTCAACGTGCATGGTGTGCATGCACATTCATTATATGTCTATAACTAAATAATCAAAACTTCCTGAAAATACTTAAGCATAGCAATATCCTTAGGTCACATTCATACTCCACCCTCTTCTTGGACTCCTTCGGTAACGTGCTACCACAGCATATCCAGGTAGAGCACAACACATAATCCACGGACTAAGATACAGGGGCAGAAAAACAAACAATGCATTAGCCGTATGTGTATTAGTTTGGAAGAACTTGATGCTACTGGTAACTAACTACTCTGGAGTGTTTGCCCACTTTTAAAACATGGGTAACTAGGAGCATTACCTCCCTGCACTCACAGGTTGCATGAAAAGAACTATCAGAAGCTTTATGAAGATAGCAAATTCAAGATACTCTTCCAAGTGCTACTTCATGCTTGGCTTGGTGAAGGAATGCAGAGAACTTCAGGTATCCATTGCATATATCTCAAGAATGGGGCATTCACTAGAAAAGCTAATTACAGGTGCTTTTCTGTAGCAGGAGATATGGCTACAGATACATCTCCCTAGTATACACTCATGACAGGCTTTAAACTCACGTCCAGGCTGACAGTCTTTTGTTAAAATAACTGTATTCCTTAACTTTTCTACGTAAAAGGTGAGTGATTTACCTAGAGTCTTGTCCATGTAATTAAAAAAAAGTGCACAAAAGTCAGTGTATGAAGACCTGTTTTAACCCTGGAGATACCACATCTAAGAGAAGAACTTAGGCAAGCTAAGTTCTTAAATGGCATTAGCTGTGCTACACTCCTCCTCCCTGGAAAAGAATAAGAGGAAGAAAAAGCCTTTTAAAGAATGCTTGGTCATAGGGACTTCACTCTTCCCCACACTTTCAGCTAATATGATAGCACTCACAGATGCTATTTTCAATGAAAGGTGAAGGACAGAGCGTATAACGGTGGGCTCGAATAGCTAACCTGTAAGGAAAATAAGGATCAGATTAAACTATCATTGAGAAACACAGTCGACAGCTAGAGGAAAACTGCAAATAGCATTGTAAGAAACCATCAGATTCGCATCTAAAGATGGGTGAAGGATAGACATAGCTGTAGGGTGGACCCAAATCAAAGTAATAAAAAAATCTCTGGCCTACTTTACAGAGAAATTTTAAAGTCTTAATCTAAAAATGGTCACTTCTCTCATAAGCTCAAGATGCCTTTTTCTCTTCTCTGAGGAAGAGAAATGAGATACAGAGAAACAGAGCGAGTGCTGAAGTTGCCTGGATCTGAAGAGGCTGAATGATCTACCTAAGAAGTATACCGAGATTCTTTGCAGTCTGTAGTCTTGAAGTTCCACAAAATAAAGCATTTGACTGACATGCAGTACTTGCCACACACAATAGTTGAGGATGGAAGGGACCTTTGGAGATCATCTAGTCCAACTCCCCTGCTCAAAGCATGCTCATCAAGGGCAGGTTGCCCAGGGCATTATCCAGTGTAGCTTTTAATATCTCCAAGGACAGACTTCACAACCTCTCTGGGCAACCTGTTCCAGTGTTTGACCACCTTCACCATAAAAATGTTTTTTCCTTAAGTTTAAATGGAATTTCTTGTATTTCAGCTTGTGTTTATTGCTTCTTGTCCATTCACTAGATATCACCGAGAACAGTCTAGTTCCATCTTCTTTACATCACCCGATCAGATTTTTACAGACATTGATAGTATTTCCCCCCCTAAGCCTTCTCTTCTTTAGGCTAAACAATCTCAGCTCCCTCAGACTCTCCTCCTGACAGACACTCCAGTCCCTTAAGCGTCTCTGTGGTGCTTTGCTGGGCTCACTGCAGTATGTTCATGTCTTGTACTGGAAAGCTCAGAACAGGGCACAGTATTCTAGATGTGGCCTCACTGGTGCTGAGTAGAGGGAAGAATCACCTCCTCTTGACCTGATAGCTACACTCTTCCTAATGCAACCCAGGATGCTGCTGGCCACCTTAGCTTGACACCCATCAGGTCCTTTTCTGACTAGCTTGCTTTCCAGCCAGTCAGCCCCCAGCCTGTACTGGTACACAGCATTACCTCTCCCCAGATGCAAGACATGGCAATTCCCTTTAATCAGCTTCCTGAGGTTCCTGTCCACCCAGTTCTCCAGCCTGCTGAAGTCCTCTTGAATGGCAGAAAAATTGTCTGGTCTATCAAGGTCTCCTTTCAGGTTTGTATCATCTGCAAGTTTGCTGAGGGCACACTATGTTTCATTATCCAGGTCATTAATGAAGATATTAAAAAATATCAGACTCCATATTGAGCCCTGAGGCACACTGCTGCCCAGTGGTATCCAGCTGGAATTCATGCTGCTCATTACAACCCTTTGAACCCAGCAGTTCAGCCAGTTTTCAGTCCACCTCGCTATCCACTTACCTACTCCACACCAAACCACAAGTTTGTCACTGAGGATTGTGGGAAACAGTGTCAAAAGCCTTACAATGGAGGAAAGAACCAGGATTTTGGGTGATAGGGCAGTGTGGCTAGAACAAGAAAGCTTGGTGCATCTACACTTAGATTTAACAAATTCACTAGCTAAAAAAAGCTGGAGAACAGAATAGTTTAGAAAATGGAGGAGAGAAAAAAAAAAAAAAGATTGTGCTGTTGTATCATTGGCCAAGAGCGATGTTCACAACAAGAACTATGGCTCAGCTGGCTGACAAAGAAGAACTGAAGATACCTGACACATTCAAACCAACTGGGGGTGGGAAGGAGGGAGTTGAAAGGATACAGAAAACAAGGTCCAAATTAACAAGAATATACATCCAGTTGTACCTAACAAGTTAGTTCCTATCATATTTAAAAAATCATATTTACATCATAATAAAATACTTTGCAGAAGTGTTGTAGGGCAACATTTAAAACACACAGATTTACTGAAATTAAAGGCACTGGAAAAAGTTGTCCATGTTACTACACAGATTCTACTCAGGAAAGGTATTTACCAACTGGACTTTGCTTGGCTCAGTGTGGACCATCAAAGTAGGACAACAATAAGGACCATCTCATTACTACAAAATTTAGCTAAGGCTTGGTCAGATAAGCCCTCTAGAAAATGGAAAAAAAAAAACCAAACCCAAACAAAACCCACATCCCAATGCTTAATGAGGTATTTTTTGCATAAAATTTGCATGAAATAATTTTAAACAAACCCAGAGGCTGGCACATCAAAAACAATTAAACATAGAGAATTATGGAACTTATACAGTGAAGTAAGTTATTGGCAAGTATATTGGCAGAATCACAGATTTGCAAAATTTCACTATGCCTATTCTTTTTCAAATTCACAGAACAGAACTCAGTTTTCAATAGATCCACCATTTCACTACTATAAACTGTAAAAGGTCTTAGTTTTCCCTGTTTGTCTAATTATTTCCAGTTCTTTCAGTTACATTCTTGTTTCATCACTCCCCAAAGAAGTACATCTCTGACAACACTATGCTGCCTAAAAATCACATACAAAACATTTTCCTATAATTTGCAAAGGCACATCAGGTGAGTTTATACAGAAGGGGAGAACTGAAGCACAACTGAAGAGAGTTCTAACAGCTTCAATTCTCCTGTACTCCTTCTTCATTTCAAA